GGATAGGAACACCGCCCTCCGACAACACCTGGCGGTCACCCAGAAGCTGTACCAAGCCTTGCAGCAGCAGAAGGAGGATGCGGCGACGAAGAGTCAGGCGGAGGCCGAACTAATACGGGCAAAGATCGAGTCGGAACTGCAGGAGGAGCGGAGACAGAACAAAGTCCTAGCAGCCGAGCTTGCGCGCCAGACGCGCGCCTTAGAGGAAAGTCAAAGAGCCCGCAAGGAGGATGAGGAGTTGTTGTGCAACTTGCAAACCGAGTGCTCGGATTTGAGGGCTCAACGTGCGGATTTAGAAATGCAGCTGGCAGAGGTGGAGAGCAGCTGCAGGGCACGAGGAGAGTTGGCGGCACGGGTGACTCGTTGTCTAAACGGATACACCCATTGGGAGGTGGCAGCTCAAGAGAGGGTCACACTCCGGGAGTTCGAGCTTCGGGCGGCGGCCTTGACGGAAGGTGACAGTCGGAGTCGGCGGCGAGTGGCAAGAAAATTAGAAACCTTCTTGTCGGGTGCGCGCGACACCATGGCGCACTTGCAGTCGGAAGTCACCACAGCGCTCCGACGCCTGGGGTTACGCAGCCGGTCGGAAGACTGGCAAGGTAGAGACAGTAAGCGGAGCAGTCCGGCGCGCAGGAGGCGCAGCACCGGATCTGCTGAGTGCAGTAGAGTAGTTTGGTTTCGCGCAGATGCTGCGAGTGGTAGATAGGATAGCGTAGTGCTAGTTAGGATCTTTTGAGAGTATAAAGTAGATCAAGGCGTTTTGCCTTTGGACTCTTCCAGTTTCGGAAGTGCAGATCAGGAACTCACTTTCTTGGCGTGTTTGTGCATTTTGGTCCTGGCACCACGTAGAGAAGCTGCAGCATAGCGAAGTTACCGTATGTTGTAGTTGAAGGCCTTCGGCTGAACATTCAGAGCTAGTACCCGGTTAGAGACTTGAGTAGTGCGGATCTGCACCTGCGGGTGATTTCTGATACTCAGAGCCGGCTGCGAGTTAGATACTTGAACAGTTCCCCCTTACTCCTTCGAGTGACATATCCTGATTGTACTCCTACGGGAAGTTTCCCCTGAATGCCAATGTGAAGTTTCATTACTTCGTGTAAACCTTGGTTTGTAATTCAGGTTGTGTGTGTGTTACTGGATCGTGTTTTCAGTAAGTTCTCAGTCGGGTCTGCACTCCCTGCGTTTTGTGTGATAGTCGAGGGTGACGTCCACGGCGTACGTAGAGGCTTCGTTCCGAAGTGAGAAGTCCAGTCCGGGTACCCCCGCTAGTTCCTGGCGGAAGGGCAGTAAAAGCCGGAGTGGGAGGCACTTCCTGCAGAACCTCTGAGTGAACTTGCGAGACACTTTCCTCCTGAAATCCGAAGCGGAGGTCCTGACCGACCTCCGAGTTGTGCTTTTTGCCAGTTTCAGGTGTGTGTGTGTGTGTTGAGTGACCAAGCTGTACCGTGCATCCTCCGAGCATCCTCCGAGTTGAGTTCCTCCTCCGAGTCGAGCCTCCGAGTCGAGCACTACAGTATTTCTGGGAGTGACAGTCGCCTAGAATTCAAACTCTACCAAAAGTCTGTTAAACGTGACACTTTTACTCTGTGTGTTGCCTCTGTCCCTGTGGGTTCGATCTTTTTACCACCATACTGCAGTTTTAGCCTTTGGTGGGTTATTACAGTGCTACTCTACCTCTCTATTTATACTACTTGAGGAGTTACCATTGTAACATGTGGTAATTTCTCCTAACTTACTTTTACCTAGGTAAATTTGACTAACCCACTATACGTGGCAACATGCCATTGGCCTACCTAAACCTTCTAGAAGTCTTCGAAATCCGAGGTTAAGGTGGCGACATGCCATTGGAAGCTTTTAAACTTCTACAACCTTCTTAGCCATTAAGTCAACATTAGATTTATTCTAGCCAATCATCTTTCATATATTGAGTCAAACCAATCAAATCCAAGCTTCGAGTCAAATATCTAATCCCTTGGAATCTAGAACTTTGTAAAAGACAAAATAGAAATGCTCACTCCACTCTTCTGAAATTCCGCTAATTCTTCCGCTAACTATAGACATCATAGCTAAACTTAGTCGTGACTAGATAATCTTAGTTATAACTAACTAGTTTAGTCATAACTAGATAGACTTAGGTATGCATTGGCTAATCATCCTTAATCACTTGAACACTTCTATGATTTAGTACCTATGTGCAACACCCGGTCTTACAAGTCAAATTGGTAGAACTTGGCAATGTGATACACTCTTCCGAATACATAACATTAACAAGTGTCAAAAAACTCTTGTTCCTATACCTATCTTTAGCTAGTTAGAATTAAAATAGAGGTTACTCAAGATGAAATTAGAGTTTATTTAGCGTGCATTAGTCATTACTGCCATGTCAGCGATCCGCGTGCTTGATAGGTATATAGTAAATGTGTTAGTTGACAATGACACGATATGGTTATTTGCCACGTCATTCATTCACTAAGAGTGAAATGGATGATGGAAATTTTATCTATTCTCCTTGTACTTGTTGGTAAGAGCTATACAAGAAAGAACAATATCATTGTTGGTATTTCTCATCTTCAAAATTTATGTTTTCATCTTTGAGTGAGTTTCTTTCTATATCCTAGTGCTACTGTTACTCCTCAAATCATTCCATTATTTGCATTCCTCTCTTGCAAATTTGGGATTTTTAGTCGTCAAATTTCATTTTTAAATTTTGAAACTAAGTCTATTGCTAATGCAAAATCTTTTTAACATCAAAGTTTTTTCAACTCCATTGGTATAAAATCAAATAGATCTCAAAAAAATGTTTGAAGGTTAGATGTGTATGACATGTGATTTGTAGGCTTACTTTCATTTAGGTTTAACTGACATGGCTTTTTGATAACTCATTATGATTCTAGAAGCTAAGGATTTTTTTATGTGTTCCCGTACCAATCATTTCCTCATACAAGCTTTCCACTCATCACTTCAATCAATCACACATCAATATTCAAAATGATAAGGTAACGTAGACTTATATTGATGAATTAACTCACACAATGAACTCTCAAAACTTGCTTGAGAGTTTTTCCTCTACGTCTCTATTAATACTACCTAAGAATTTACCATTATGATATAAGATAATTATCATCTAACTTTCATAAAGATAAATTATGGTAGATGTAACGAGATTTCAATATGTGGTAAGATGTCATTGTGTTATCTAAATTTGCTAATGTTTCCTAATCCCTAAAGTAAGGTAGCGACATGTCATTTGAGACATTCAAAGTTCTAAAATCTCCACTTGCCACTAGATCAATTCTAGATTTTGTTTCTCCAATGAAGCTTTTATTAACTAGTCAAACCAATCAAACTAATCATATAATAAAAAAATTCTTTTAGATTTTAGATGTTTGTAAAAGACAAAATACCGATATTCACTCAAAACTTCTATAGTTAATTATTCTGTCAATTATAGAGTTAATAAATAAACTTATTCATAATCACATAAACTTAGCTATAATTAGATAAAATTAATTATAACTAAACTAACCATGATCAATTCTTTGGCTACTTCTAACATACAACAATTGATCTTATAGATTCTATAACCATCCAAAATTCGTTGAACAATTGTGATTTTTTCATTCACTGTGGATAGATTGTTACATCAATATTTTTTTTAATTTGATACTTCAAACCTTATTTGTACATATTCAAGGATTCTACTCTTCTCATATCCATGATAGATATTTGAAAAATCAAAAAAAATTTCACTATATTCATTTAATCTCCTTTTTGTTTCAAATTGCACAATTTTATTCTTGACATTTCAAGATAGTTTATTGCTTGAAAATTGAAACAACTTGTTTTAAAAGCATTTGTTCTATGTAATGTATCATGTAAGAGTCTTATTGAAAATTAAAATCTCATCAAAATTTTTACAATAAAATCATAAACATGAAAATGGAATAAATGAATATTCATAATCATGATGAACATTCCAAAACTTTCATTGATCTATTCTTCTTGTAAGTTTTCCCTTACAATATATTATACATGAGATAAAAAAATTGAAAAGAACCAACTCAAAAATATTCAACAACTCGCTATTACAACTAGATGCAAAACTTAGAAAATCGAATCTTAAACTCGAGTAATTGTGAATATTACGGAATGTAAGAACATAGTTCCTCACTATCTCCAACAATAGGGAATGATTTCTTACAAGCTCTATAATTATATATATAATCGATTCAAACACTTTGATGAATATTACAAACCATCACCATCATGTTACAAATGCAGGCAAATACTTCATCTTCATGTTTAGCCATGGTCAATATTAACTATGAAGTACACATGGAAACCATGATGGCTTATTTCATTCCAAATTCATGTTCATTTGTACTTCAGCATGAAATATATCGATAAAATGTATCATCAATGTTCTCCGGAAGTACCCAATCCAACTCTTGTCATTGCAATACCAATATCATTCATTACACTACAATCCATTTTTGCATGTAATTGATCTTTTCATAATTTTATGATGCCCATAATTTTCATACAACATTGCTAAAGATGCTTAAACTTAGATATTGTCTTTATTAAAAAATATTATATATACCATATTATATACATAAGTGTAAGTATGTTCAAACTTACATAAATAATTGTATGAAAAATATCATAAAAATACTACGATATTCTTCATTTACGTGTAATATACATTGGATTTTGGAAATCTATAATACAACTTGAACAACACATTAGAACCTTATCGCCTCATCATGACAACTACTCTTAGATTCAAAATAATCAAAGAGCACTTATGAAGAATAAATCCTCTATTGACAAGCTAACATTTATTTAATCCAGGTTCAAAGTCCTAAATGTCTTCTAAAAGTCCAAACTTCCCAAAACGAAGTATTTCCAAATTCGCATTGAGTTAATTTTCACAATCTCTTTATATATTTGTGAAATTTTCAATATCATGTATAATCCAGCAAAACTCACATGTAGTGGGCAATTTTCTTGTACTGGATCGATAAGGAAATACAAAGAATGAAATCTTGTAATCTCTGGGTGCTAAAAATATTATGTAAAAGTTGAAATTGTAAAGGTGTTTGAGAATGTCCTGTAAACTTGTTACTTATTATCTGTACATATAGAACCTAAGTGCTTCTCGCAACGGACCATAAAAGTGTGCTCTGTGCACAAACCGTACAAGAATGAGAAGACAGAAAATTCCAATACAACTTACTGGCATTGTAAACTGCACCGGCAGTACATGAAGAATGCAGAGAGTAAAAAGGCACGAGTTTATACATATGTCTGTAGCTTTTGCTTCTGGGATCGATCTTTCAAAAAGTTCTATGTTCTTCTGCAACCTGGTTGCAGACACATGTTCCCACGTCGGAACATTGTAGCTATACAAATGGAGCTCAGACTTAACCAATATGTGGAACGATGGCCACATTTCCATTTTGGTCCACGTCCAACCACACTCGGCGCATATCGATGTTCTCTATGCGCCCAAATCCTTCTGGTCCGAAAATCACATTGACCCCAACTTCCTCCGAAATTATAGTTTCAATTGCTTCCTTGTACGGTCTGCCCAGAAGCTCTGGCCATCCCGGACTTCTTCCTGAAAACATGTCGCATCGTGAACAAGCAAGCGAAAGTGAGATTGACGATAAGCCAAGTCCTGGAAGACGAACATGGGTTCCTAGCACAGAGCTTCTGAAAGTTTCAAAAGTAGAATCTAGATCTGTAAGCTCGACGAGACCAACAGCAGATCCACTCCATTTGGAAATTGACATCCCTTCTGAATGTTACGCTTTCAGAATCATAAGTGGAGTGGATTATTCTTTCCACCAAATTACAGCAGTTTATGCGATCTTTCTTATAGCCTTCCTGAATGGCTGCCATTCGGCATCCAGCAGCGCAGCCACGATTAAGGAAGAATATCAGCCAATAACGATGACCACTATCTTGCCCTGACTTCTGTGCACGTAAGAACTACTTACGATTGTAGTGCCAGGTTCCACGTTTGGGAATGCCCAGAACGGTGTCGAGCCCGCTGTCGTAGACCCACACGTCTTCGGGATTACCAGAATTGATGGGAGGTGAGTCTTCTGCAGACATCAGGCCCTGCGTGTACACATTCGGTATCGATGACACAGCACTCAAACGGTCCACGGCTTCTTGTGTTGACGTACCTAGGTACTCCACCCAGGCATTTTGCTCATTCCCTGCAATATGAGTCAGGCACAAGCTTACTCTCCAGAACAAAACAACGCAATTTACTCTTCTGCTGGATATAAAATCACTCACTGACCATTCAGACAACCATCATGGAAGCTTAATCTTGCCAGAACAGCGGAATTAAAGATTCGTCGCCATTCTGCATGTTTTGATGTACACCCCTTGAGAAAGTAGTTCCCGATACGATCGAGCGAGTGGCTGAGCTGAGTTAGACTGAACCACTCGAGCTCAAACGGAAATGGAAACCTGAGGAAGTTCCTGGACGTACCGGTTTCGTTGAAAGCCATCGAGCCAACTGAGCTCAAATCTTGACTTCGCGAACGTGTTCTCCTAATCGGTCTGTGAGATCAGTATCAACAAGTTTCTAGAGTCAAATCCAACAGTGATCTGTCAACCAACCGACCACTCACAGCAGACGATTCCAACAACGATTCTAAAACTCTTGTACCAACTGCACAATTGACTCGAGCTCCTATTCACACGAGGGTAATATTACTAGAAGCTGATGAATCCCATTGCTACATGCATTCCCCTCTGAATTCAACTGACACTTCGTACGTTGATGTTACTGAGCGCGTTGTCCTCGGCCTGCTGCTTGAAGAAGAAGACAAGAAGGATACATGATATAAGTGGCAAAGACACTCGTTTATATACCAACAAAACATTCATCTGAGCCCAGGCCGCCTACAATCTGGACTATCTCGTCACAAGAAGTCATCTGTGGACTGGACACCAAGACTCGAGTGGTCTACTGTGGACCTCGACATATATCCTACGACTCACATCCTACATTATCTACACCATTCATGAGAATCACGTGAGCGACTTTGCCCCTTGAACGAAGACCAAGTCCTCCAAGTGGCCAGAATCCACGTCGCTACAAGGACGTGAAATTATTGCCAACGTGTTCCCGTTTTAAAGACCTTGTTACCTCGGACCATCATGTGTCCACAGTTCGAAATTTACTTTCTTGCTTGCTGTGATGGCTAGCTGCAGGACTGAGAGTGTGAGAGTGTGAGAGGGAGGCAGGGAGGGAGGGAGAGAGAGAGACTGAGTGCAGATTTGTCTCTATCTCTTTGCTGGTCTCGCTGCCTAGTGATCGAGGGCCTCCATTTGGCGCTAAGGCCCCAAAAGTTACTGTAAAGGATCAGAATCAATGTTTCAGATTGACAGGCCCTAATCAAGCCGCCAAGGTTAAATTCAATGCTTTGACGAGCAGATCTATGCCCACATGCCCCTCCGCCGTCGCCGTCGAGCAGCGTCCAAACTCCACGAGTTGACATAATCGGTAGCTTCATCGTCACAACGTGAGACTTTATTGACGGACTTTGTACCTGGAACTGAAGCTTGTCTGTCTGCCTGGAGTCTGCACCCGAATGCTTTCGGCTCGTTCGGTTCTGCATGTAACAGCTGCCGTTGATGGGGCAAGGAGAAATTCTGACTCAGACCAGTACGTCACCGCGGTTCCCTTCGGACTGCCACTTTACTAAATTGAAGTGGCAGGCCAAAGGGAAGAGTACTGCCAAGAGCTTTTCGGCCATTGTTCTAAAAGCTAAAACGGATACCTCCGTAAGCTTCAAGATATGATCGTCTGTAATCTGAATCGTTTCTAATCTATGTGTACCTTATTATTGATTGATTGTACTTCCATTCCATTCTTGCAATCTGTAGTTCCAGGCATTCCTTCCTTACACCAGAAAAACACTTACTATTCATCTATACAGGTCTTTTGTTTCTATTGTGGCCCTAAATGCAATTCTTCTTGCTTGTGCTTTTCAGAAAGCACGTTGACCCAGCGTGTTCCAAAAGCGTAATATTTAACCGCGATTGGGCTGTTCTGTGACGATATAACTCGAGTTCAGACGTGTTGCTTCTGATGGCGTCTGATTCTTGCTATCCTACAATCCTCACCCTCACTATTCTCTATACATATAAGTATAGATATATGTATGAATCTACTTGTATATACATGTAACTCTCTGTATATATAGTTATGTGATTTTTTCTTACGAATTTGTGTTAATTCACCAGACATGCAGGGAAATTATGCAATACCGTACGGACGTATAGACAAATATAGATGACAACGTTAGTAGGTTTCGAGAGGTCGGTTGGCTATTTTAATTACCAATTCATTCTCAAGATAGTTGTTCCGTAGCCATAGTCTATTAATTTATCTTTCAATTCAACCTAACTAGATTTTAGCTGAAATATTTTAAAATTTATGAGCAAGGAAAACATGTTGTAAGTATAAAGTGAACAAGATATCTCTACATGTAGGTGTTTCTTCAATTTTTACGTCACCATCGAAATAATTAACTTTTGGGCCTGGAAAAGTCCAACATCGGAAGGTATATCTAACTTGGAGAAGCCAAAACTGCGAACATAAGTTTGCCTGAATGCCGAGCCACCACCTAGTGGAGTAATCTGTTGACATATAGGATTGGCCAAGGAAAGATCTGGGGCACAAAATTATCTCCATCTTTAGCCATTACCCAATATAGTAAAATTTATATGTACCATTTTAGCCAAACCTAGATCCAAAGTACGAGTTTGCAGAATACGCAGAAGTTCCCGTTCATTTTCTGCTATTGCCTCTACTAACTACTTAGATTTTTGGATTTCAAATCTTCAATTGACTAATTTGTTTGAGATAAAGTTTCATTGCATAAGTAAAAATAACTTCAAGGGGTAAATGGTGATTCACCCCTTGAAGTTATCTTACTTTATAAAGTAATTTAAAAAAGTTCAAGGCTAATAGATTCTTTGGTGCTCTTCAATGATACTTCAATACATATATGGCTTCAGTGGCTGAAAAAAACGAATATGGTTAGTCTAAGAACAATGGTTATTTTTTCATATGGCCATGGCTTGGCATTCACTTATCTAAAGATTATCATGCTTTCTAAGGTGACTTTCTTAGCCATTGAAAGGTTTATTCTATGGATATTGATGTTACTCCCGGCTAGAATATTTTTTCATCCGGTAGTTGTCTCTTTTTAGAAACCATTGTCGTGCGACTTGGTATCGCCATACATTATACATCGTTGACATGCTCTACTCACAACTCACACATACATACACAAGGAACGAGAGTGTCCACACACAAAGGTATCACAACTCGCCCCCATCAGTTGGCTGTCAGGTCCCTCTGACTCCCAGGTAATCCTATCTACAACTACATGTTATGCACCTTCATGGGTGCGCAAACCAGTTGGCCGGGTGCTATGTCGCCCCATCGTTAGTCGCCTATCTGCAATCCATAACATGTAAAGAGCAAGTCATCTACCCTCTGAAGTACATCGAGGACAAACCCACCATCCAGTAGGAACAACATCAATATGTGGAGTTAAGCACGACATGTGACATCCCCTAGAAAACCTATCACACACCAACATATGGGCCGCCTGATCAGCTGATCCATGTAACATGCACCTCAAATCTGCATGTAAAATTCCCAAGCTTGGATCCAGAGTACCATACACGTTTGGAAGGTGGCATGGCACACAGTTGCGCACATGATCCTTCCAAACGACACCGTCACGACCCTCTAACATGAGAATTCCATAAGTTAACACCTCCCGCACTCGTAAGATAGTGCGTATAGAGTCGAAGCTAATGGGACTGACATATCCTTACGCGAAAGGCTCAATTCGAAGAACTGACAGTTCTTCGACCTTGCCTCGACTATATCCTACGTGAAGCGTCGACCCAACCCAATGCTTCTCGATCATCTGCCCGCGGCTCAACGTCAGCCGCGTACCAACGTGCCTCCGACTCAAATCTGAACTCAACGTGCACACACATGACACCATCTTCTCAATTATCTTTCACCTTCTTTGTTTTCGTCACTGTTTTGTAGATGCGAAGACGCATTGATGTTGCTTTACTTGCTTGTGAAAGCTTCAATGTTATGTTTCATTTATGTTACTTTTAATTCCTCCTCGGCTTTGAGCTTTGGCTCATGAAAAGTTTATGTTCAACAACGTCTATGCTAGTGAGATTCATTTCGATAGATCTTAATGCTTTTAATCATTACAATAAAATTTGCATTCTAAGCTGTATAGATACGTTTCATGTCTTTTGTGCTCGTTTGGCGTAAGTTGATACCTCATGATTGTGTTTTTGCTAAGAGGTATCGTTCATGTACAGTTGGATTGTGATTGAAGAGAGGCTATCATAGGTAAAGATTTTGCACTGTATACTAGAAGCCTGAAAGTAACCTTCATGAAAATCTGCAATTTTTTTTGTCACATCATATGATGCTATTTCAATTACAGATAAATTAATTACATTAGTATTTATGAAAGTTATTAAATTATCTTCAAATGCATTGCTTATTAACCTGCATTATGTGGTTATAAACAATCATGAATAAAACGTAATTGTCTATGCTCATGTGTATGTATTTTCAATCTACAGGTAAGCATAGACAATTTTCATCTTTAGGATGTTTTTTTTAAATTGGAAAACACAAAAGCATGTGGTTTTATCATGGTGAGTATTTCTACTTAAAAAATATATTAAGTTCTTGATTTTTCATAAAAAACTTTTTAAAAAATTAAAAAAATATATACCTGAAATCTAGAGTGAAGTAATCTTATAAATCAGAATTTAGTCAGATACATTTTTTTTTAAGTAATAATTTATCATAAAGAACATCTATGTAGATTTGGTTTCAATAAATTGGGATATCAAGATTGGTTCTAAGTTATAAGTTGAAGTATATGATTTATTTGAAATGAAATTATTAAAATTTCAAATTGAATTAAAAATTTGAATCAAAAAAATCACAAAATATTATTCAACAAGTTTATACCTTCTAAAACATATACTCGAGCTAAGAAATTATAAACACATAATCTATTAATATAAATATGAGTAAAACTTGATGATAGTCAAATTTATAAGCAGAATTTTCATATTATTTCATTGTATTATGATAAATATCTTTCTTTGAAAATGATTTATCACTCATAGCATGCAGTAACGTAAAAATTCACACTGAACTTGAAATTATGTCAAGGTACAAAATATGCCAATTATGAATTAATCTTTTCATGACTTTTTATTTATCATCTAATCATCTTATACTCTGCTTTTGCTTAGAGTTTGTAGGTGTATCAACATTTTTGAAAAATTATGACACTAGGTATTAAGACATGAACTCATTCCAAGATGAAATACTAATTGTAAATATCACAAATTATTCTAATAAATCTACTCCTTATATGGATCTTTCCAACAATGGAGATAATATCTCAGTTCCACCATCCATTTAATTATAAATTACTTGATTGACATGCACATGGATTGTTGGCATATCATGTTCAATTAACACATTTTTTAACATATATAATATTTATTTAAAAAATATATGGATTGATGATATGTTAATATTAATAAAAAGATTATTTTTTTTACCAAAAAAACGGATTTTTGACTGTAGATAATGCTATTTTATTTCTAATCTGATAAAAATTCTATTTTTTTCAACGAACTAAATATGCTGGCACAATTTAATTGGAATCAACCTTCTAATTTTCTTATAGTAACCTATTTTATAGAATCTATATTTCTAACTTCTCAAAAAAATTATTACTTCCCACCTTTGTTCACTAGTGAAATGCAATTTTCTCAACTTATGTCATACTTTTCATACGTAGTTGTGGCCTTGGTGCACAAAAAGGGCCGATTGGACATTTCAGCTTTCAAAAAATTCCTAAGTGTTTGAGGCAAATTTTTTCATTATGAACTTCCATCTACATCCGAGGAGACACTCTATTATATGTCTATATATGATATGGCCGAAGAATATCTACATTTGATTGGTAAGATAAAAAAAAATTGGAGTCAACTTTTTCTCGTGTAGTGAGCCAATAAGAATTATGAAAAGAAAATCTCTTATATGTAAACTACAATATATGCATCCAGAGTTTACATCTCTCAACATTGTCATGCAAGAAGCCACAGGACTTTATCATATGCCTCATAAAATGAACACATATTTTACAGATTTTTAGTTGCATGATTACTGAAAGGTCCCAAATTATTATTATGCAATCAATATATGTAAACCTCAATGTGATCAGGATTTCGAATTTTTTTTCACGGTTGGTAATTATTACTTAACCGTTGTTTTAGACTGTGTCAAATGTTCGGTGTTATGTATTTTCTATTTTGAAGAAAGTTTATCGAGTGTTAACAACAGATCAACTTTTATTCCACACAGAGCATCCGTTTCCATTGATGCTAAAATTTCATAAACCATTTTAAAAATTATAATATCATTTCCATTACTTCAAAAGTATACACACATGTATCAACCTTTTGATCGTATTGAAGACATATATAGTAAATGAAGAGTTGATATATGTGGTTTAGAGAGATTTGCTTGATAGAATCACTGCGGAAAGTAATTTGCTTGATGGGACCCCTCAGGTTTTGTTTTACCCGATTGTACCCCAACGATTGTATGCCGTCGGCCATAATTCTTGTAATTATGATTGATAATTACAATGGGGAGATTACAATTAGAGATCAATCCCTGATTATAATTTCTGGTGGATTATCACGGGTACAAAAATCGATTTTACCCGAAGTGGAATTTGTTGTGATTCAATTCTCCTGATCTCATCGATTCGCGGATTTCTTTGCTGCCTACCGCCTGCACCCTCCTTCCGTAATCCTGCGTATTGGACAAGAAGCTCGTACCGGAGAATGGTTTCGCAGTCCCCATTTGTGGCGAACAAATAAACTCCGGATGAGCATTTCTTTGCTCGTCACGTGGAGGAGTAACCGGATACAGAATGACAAAATAAAAACAAGTGAGTGTGATGGAGTTCGAAAAGTCTTTATTATAATTCTCAGTTTCATTATTAAAAAATAAACATTTAAATGACATATTTTCTCGTTGAGAAATAAACTCTACTTTGATTATTATTTTTCACTGAACTTTCAACTCTTTACAATTATTACAATTGATAGAGACAGATTGCACACCGTAGACATGTCACTGTCAACTATTATATCAACAATTAAGTATTTTGGACCTAAAAATTATCCACCATATGACGTGGAAGAACGACTTAACTTGTGAGTAAAATATATAAACACAAGAGGTTTGTAATTCAAACCTCGAAGTAACAGTATTGTCTAATGAGCTGAGTTGTGCTTTACACACTTTTTGCAGCGGTGTGAACTTTACTAGCTTCATGAGTGGACTGGCCAACTCAATTTTCTAGGTCAGTGTGCTCATGAAAAAGATTAGCTTCGTAGATTTCGTCGTTATTTTGGTGGGATATCATGAGGAGTTTATGGTAATACGTATCATCTATTCTGTAAAATTTTGAGAAGTCGAGGTACATGTTCAAATCTACTTCTAACTCGATTAGAAGGTGTAGAAGAATTATATCGACATTTATTATCGATTAACATTTATATCGATTGCTCATCTCCGACACATTTTGATGTTCATATCGTATTCTCCACCTGAATAGTAAGTTCCGTTCGAAAAGTTTTACTCTAAGGTGAAGGATTGCTGAGGCTCCGAGGGCGGCGATCTGTTTATATTGCCACAACCCACACTTTGTCATGAACTTAGGGGCTTAAAACATTTCAGGGTTCAACACGAACCACAACAGTGTGCAAGTATGAAAGACCACATAATCTCAAATTCAATTCTCAAGATACGGCTTTACTATTGATACGACATGCTATTATACAGTCAAAAGCTTCAAAAGAATACAATCATCGTGCCCGTATGAATTGAGTACATCTTGGAGTATTGCCAACCCCACCACCTTTTGATACATACGCCATACTCATTCGCATTTGCCTGTCAGAGCTTCAAGAACGTAGATCACTCTCTTTGACTGTGCTGCGGAACTCTCCATGTATGATTTATAAGATGAGCTATGAAATGGCATGACCGAAACATTTTCAAGTTTCCCTCAACCAATTGTCTTTGCTACAATATGTCTGTGAGGTTAGAAAAGCTGTAACTAGAAACAGATCCATCATTTCTCGCTCCCGTTTTGAAGATTACACATGCCAAAAACCCTCCAAACAGAATGACAGGACGAGTGCAGTACTCCATTCCAACCACCAAACACACAGAAGGGGTAAGGGTAAGGACATGCACACTTCACTTTACTGTACAATTTTATCAAAAAAGGTAGAAAATTAGCAATGTCAAAAGCAGCTAATCCTAAATAAGAACTTTGATAGTCGCTGACAGAGCACTTCCGTCATGATTCCGTAAGATGGAGAACCTACTACTCAACGTCCATGCTCATGAATGTCGAGAACGCTAGCGTTTTGACTACGTAAAAAACAGGGCTCCATGTACAAGAGAAGTTGAATATGTACCATGCATCATTTTGAATCTCTAACATTCCGCTTCTGCCGCAAACAAGTTCAGCAGCAACTACGTTATGCACGCTTATAATACGTTGGTGTTGACTTCTTCACAGACCAGCATGACTCCACTTCCCATACAATCACTTTCTCTTACCGAATCCTAAACTGGTGCTCCTCTGCTGGTTCGTCGCCGTCGTTGTCCAGATAGTTCAAAGGTAAAAGTGGGACGTACGCGGAAAGAGGAAGCTGACTATCACGGTAAGACAGAAGAATTTGATTCAACTTTTCAGCACCCATGCGTGCAGTTCCAAGTGCTTGTGGAACCATAGGCAATGACTGCACCGATCGCCATGCTTGACTACCGTAAGCTTGTGCGGTCGGCTCACAATGGGCAATGTAAGTTCGTGCTGTATTGTAAACTCCATTTTCTTGCACGTCATTCACGATAGAGCCTACAACGTTCTTGGCAGCATCTGTCGCTTGGTAAGACTTTTCCTTCACCGACTGGGGCAGAATAGCGTCCAACAAGTGCACTGTATCATCGACCTGCAGAAATTATATGAATAAATTAGGCCTTGTATAATTAGGAGGACAGCAGTACACAGCTCGACAAGCAAAAAAACAGCTTTTCGAGAGTTTGATTTGATGTATAAAGTCTACTTTCTGGAGCAAAACTGAAACATTGAAAAACAAACGGGAGCGATTGCAAAGAACGTAAATCATACCCTTCTGTCCACAAATTGTAGGATCTGATATGGCTTCCCATCAACCTTCTCAACTATCGGTCCAACAACAGACTTCACAGTTCCCTCAACTTCCTCCACCCTCGACTTGAGTGCGCCTGAGTTCTCCTTTCCCACCTCATACAGATTCATAGCGAAGGCTGTACCATATTTCGCGGCTATTCGGACAAAGTCCAGATACTTGAGATCTGTTTCTGGAATCTGCAGTAAAAAACTTGACGATTAGTGAAGATAATCCGACAAACCTGCTAAGTGAATGCAATCAGCCTTAAGAGTACATGGAAAGAAACATCGCCCCCAGAGAACTATAGTCGAGATCAAATTTCCAGAATTAGCCACGACTATGTGCAATCCTTTCAGAGACAGGTACCCTAACACGTACAGTGTCCTTAAAGTATTCAAACTTGAAACCACACGGTCAGGAAGTCGATATGAAAGATGTCACAAAACGCGGTAGATGAGACCATGTAACATTCGACAGATCCTTCAAGGGCTTTCAGATTACCAAGATGTCCTAGAAATTAGTGTAAACTTGCTTTCGTCGAAGAGCTACTAGATGTCACCAACATATCTTTGCGACCAACGGATTCTACTAAGAATTATCTCTGAACCGATGGCATATGGATCTTGCCATCTCTGTGATCTACAAGCTAATAGATCAACAATCTCTACTTGGATACGATACGTAGAGATTTCCGAAGTCTCTACTGGCTAGACCACGAAGGCCCTATAGAATAGCCCTAACTGACGCAACTCTGTTGTCACGAACAAATTGCCAATTCTTGAAGCACTGTTAACTCCCCCGCAACTATGATGAAACTAGCATCCTCCCAAACTGATTCTCCTTCCCGAACCACACAAGTCCGTGAAACTTGTCGGACAACCCACAACCTTGTCTTCAAAATCTTCAAAAACACTATCTACGATTCTCAATTTTGTACTGGAGCAGAAAGCACATCACATCCAATTGAGCCAGAGGAAATCAACATCTGTCACCTACCTGCTCATACCCTGCTCCCGACGTTTCGCCCGACATATCGTGATCGTCCGACATTTCTCCACCCATACCGACGACAGACTTCTCCGAACTTCCTCAAAATCACACACAATCTACGAAAAACTCAAAAAGGAACGACGAGATTCCAAAAGCGAACTCCCAATCAGCAAATCGAATTTACACGAGAGAAGTAAACAACACTTGTATACAACGATAGAATGAATAGAATGGATGATTGAGTGAGTGGGACGTCGACGAGGAAAGCACTCGGGCCTTAAGGGAGTCCGGAGCAAGAAAGCCGCGACGTGACAGCTCAGCAACGTCGACGCTCGTGGTGGGTGTGTGTGTGTCGCAATTCTCGGCGGTCGGCCGACGACAGCCCGAAGTACCCGCTTGCTTGGCAACTCCCACTGACCTCCATCGGTTCCACCTGTCGGCGCTCGCTCTGAGCTGGGCAATGACTTGGCGTCGAAGCTCTGAACCGCGTAGATTGGGACCTACGTGGTAAAGTTCCGATGGTTGACCATGTCATGAGAACGGCCGAGGAGTCTTGTCTGTGCCCCTTGGTACAGCGGGGCAGATGATTTGTCCGGGCCAGATGTCGCCGTGTGACCGGGCTAAAACTTGTGAACCCAGTGATGTATGCTAGAACATACGAGAACATCTGTCAAAGCAACGGTGGGTGAATGTGATGCGACTACGATACGAACAAGCGTCCTGCATTTTCTTTGACTTGGTTCTTGTGATGGTTCTTGTCCTACCCAATCAGCGCTGGTATAACACATTTCGATCAGGATATCCTGACCGCAATCGATCCTAATCACGGCTCCAACATTTACACGTAAGTTGTAATATAACAACACAATCGTATAACTTGGATCTAATATTGTCTCTAACTGCACAAAGATAGTATGTTTATAGTTCCATATATTATAAAAGAAACGTAATTTTTCTCATCTTTTAAGATAAATCGTCATCAGTTTCAAAACTTTAAACATCCAAAGAAGATTATTTATTTAAACGTTATTATTGCGATACCATTGTGAAATATCTTTTTAAGTTTTTTTCGCAGAAACTATATCATTCTAAACATCATAACAATTAGCTCGTATGTATCACTTCACAGGATATATGATGTCATAGCGCAGTATGACCATTGTTACATATAAAAAAAATTCATACGTATCCAAAATATTTAGAAATGTTCATAAATATATTATATGTTCAGGCTAACTTCGGTTAAAGAATAGCCTCATGTGTAATATGGACTGTATGTGTAATATTTATAACTCAGGATTTGTGTATTACAGAACGTTTTTTTCAGTAGAACTCTAACGCACGGAGTTATCCGTGTATGTAGCACTCTCCTCGTGAGGATGAACCGCGTTATATCGTGTCTTAGCTATGATTTGATTTTTTGAGTTTTATGTCATCTCGATTAACGCTATTAATGTATTCATCATCAAAAGTAAAAAAAAAAAAAATTTCACATTCAAATCAAGTGGTTGTTTCATATATCCAATGCTTTTGGCTTTTAAACCCTAAGTCTTATAAAAAAATATAATTTTGAATTTAATGTCAAATAGTCATAAGAAATGAATTATTCATTCAAATTATTGGTTTGGTTGTGCATAACATTCTATACTTTTTGAAGTTTTCACATGCACATTGTTTTATTCTGATGCTTGAGAGTATAATTATAAAATATTTATTTAGATATTTACATCTAATATTCTGTTTAAATATTATCCTCCCTCCTTCCTTCCTCCTTCAACATTGTTCATTTAGCAATTGTACAACATTTAACAACTATCTCATATATAAAGGTCCAATTTTTAAAATTAATTTTTACTTCTGGAATGCTATGAAAAGTATATTTCACAATTTTGATCCTTTGATCACTCATATTGATAATTTAAACTATACATTGTAGCACATTATAATATGAAATTTTTTTTAAAAAATTTACCAAAAGTGTTATTTTTAATTGATCTTAAATATCTTATCAAATATAATTTTATGTTCAACACATATTGAAAAAAATATTTTGTTGAAAATGTGTACTTTATACATCTCACAATTGACGTAAATTTTTAATTGGATTAGGCAGATAAAAAGTATTTTTGATCTTTATTGGAAAGAAATTCAAATTTATTAGAATTAAAAAATAAGTAATATCTAACTGTAAAAACTAAAAAATTTATCATATTTTCTTCAATTTAATCATAAAATATAGCTACAAAAATTAAATTAAAAAAAATCAATGTTAGTGTTTTGTGAAATTAATTGCAATTCAATTTAAATTTTAAATCTAGAATGATTATTTATAGTATAAACGAAGAGATTATACATTAAAAAAAAATCATTGAGAAAAAAAGCTGCATATGAATCAACTAAATTTCAGTTCTATCTTTTTTTTAACAAAATAATAATCAAAAAATCCTTTAACAATAAAGGATTCATCAAATTTGAAACATATGACAAATTCAAATTCATATTCATATTGTCAACTTTAAATCAATATATGCATTATCTAATACCAAATCTTAACCGTAAAGTGATTTAGCTTGCAAAGTATATTGCTTCTCATGAAGTAAAGTAATTTTAAGAAAGTGAAATGTCAATTTAATTGTTTGAATATAATATCGGAATTCAATTTACTTCTAATTGAATTAGATGGGTACGATATACATAAATTACCAACTCACACAAGAGGCAAGTTAGATTACTTTATAGCCAACCTCTCATGGTGAAATTTTTGAATACGCTATCATATTCAAATTATCCCCGTATTTTTCATTTTTACGTGGCACTATTTACTCGACGATAAATATGGATGTTCCTAGTGAGTTAGTGACAAACTACGGTGACCATGCATATAGAATAGGATTTTACGGATAAAATTAATTGTAATGTAGTAGTGATCGGAGAAAACGGACTTCTCTTTATACGTAAGAAGAAATACACGAAGGAAACTCGTAATATTTTATACAAGAAGAACCCATAAGCAACGAGGTTGTGAGAGCCATTCGAAGACCATCGCAAGTCCATCGCAAGAATCAGGCAGTCATGAAATTGGTAAATACCAACTTTCAAAGTGCTTCGCAATCCGCACAAAAACAATTCGCACCATCTTTATTGCAAGACAAATGACAAGGAACAAGGTTCACGTGTCCTCCTCCTCTGCCTGCGGAGGCGGTGCTTATATACATGGACGATTCTGCATCCGCAGTAACAGGAAATTTAGTTTTTTGCAAGCGTCCTGTCTTAGAAGAAGGAAACACAATAAATCACAAGGTTTTCGTAAGTAGCAGCAGAACAGGAGTTCGAACAATGAAGCATTGCTAATTAAGGAAATTTTTAAACTGAAAGAACAGGAGTTCGAACAATGAAGCATTGCTAATTAAGGAAATTTTTAAACTGAAAGACCGGTAATATACAGAGTCCTGAGTTGAAGCAGGTCTTGAGTGTTACAGCAAGTTATAAAAGCTCCGGACCGAAATGTGCTCTAAATAGATGCTGCCGTTTCAGGAATCAGTCGTAACCTATGGCCGCTGGAACTGGTGAATGGATGTCACGGGAGTTAATGAAGAATAATGCAAAGGGCCAGACTAGGACCCATTTTTGTTACGGTCACATATGTTACATACAAACAACTGATTGACTCTCTTCAAACCCAGCTGCTAAACCGAGGTTGTCCGCGAGGCAGATGAGAGCGTAGTCCAGAGGGTTCGAGGGGCGAGGAGAGGAGCCGCTTTGCGTAATGACAAAAGTGCGCTTGGTAGTAGCAAAAGCGAGAGGGCAATTAATTAGCGTAATTAGCGGGCGAGTGTGGCCTTAGCAAAAAAACAAAAGCGTGGCCCTAGTCTGCCCCTAATGCAAATAGGAAGTCCCTCAATTAATAAATACTGCAGCTAATATACGACCTCTTCAAAAGGTTGTGAATTCCTTGGACCCTTGTAATGTTTGACCTTCGAACCAGATGCTTATCATAGTTGAGAATCGTCAAGTAAACGTGTACCACATTTTATGATGCTCTGTTCAGCATCATCTGGTCTTCCCTCCATAGCTTCATCAGAACAGAGAAAAGCCCTAGGCATCTCGTGTTGATTGCGAGAGGGAGCAAATAATGCTGATCATTAAAAAACTAATGACATCCCTTCACGAACAATCAGGAGTCTCCTTCGCACCCGAATACTAGAATATTACTATAATATTCATCGGTAGCCAACATCGGCATGATCGATCTCGATTGATTCGTTGTGTGATGGAGTAATCAATTCATGTGCATGGTTTTTTGAAAGTTGAGAATATCAATGGAGCATTGATGGCGTAAATTTTGACTTGAAGTTTATTTTAAATGCCAAAAGGTGTTGTGATCGTTGTCATATCTGATCAGTAGTAACACTTTTCACCAATTGAAAATTTACTGATCTACTTCGCAGGTTAAGTCACGATTACGGCTCCGATCGGTTCGGTCGGGTTTGACCTTCAGCCCCAACCCGGTGGATCCATTATCGTGAGGAACGGCAAGGGAAAATCGAGAAATTGGAGCTGCGAATAGTTTCTTGACGAGCAAGCGATACGAGAATATTTTGAGGAGGCAGGAGCAGAAGAGTTAGGGCAGCGCGGCCCAGCTAGACGCACAAGGGAGTGGGTGCCCGTATCGAGCTGGGTGCGCAGGCGATGCGAGGAGAGGAGGAGAAGGTGTGCCAGACACGAGAGGAATGGAGGACGGACCAGCAGGGCTTGCACCTGAGCTTTGATCAGTCGATACTTTATTAATTTTCGGGTGGGGTACAGCACTTTACCCGACCCCAACTCAAGTTTTCGGTTTTACCTCAACCCTATCTGATCTAGTAGTGTTGCAGTCACAATAAAATACTTCCAGTCAAACTCGTGTTAAAATACTTATCTTTTACATATGAAAAAATTTACTTCTGTGGAAATAAAGCGCTCTTACAAGAAAAACTGTTGAAAAGCTTTGGAGATACATATGTTTTTCTATGTACATACGGGTAGAGATTTGTCCATGTTCCGACCTTAGCTCAGTTGGTAGAGCGGGAGACTGTAGTATTCACGCTGTCATTTCTAGGTCGCTGGTTCGAATCCGGCAGGTCGGATATTGAATCGTTGAAGAGGGATCCGTGCAATGATGAGATGGCGCATAGCATGCAAATCATCTTTTTCCTCCAACTGTAATCGGAACCCTAGTCACGATGGTATTTTTGGTTTGATTTTCAATTGATGAGCAAATCAAGTAAAAGTTCACGCTTGCTTGATAATTGAAAATATCAATGGAGGATGTTGATGACATAGATTTTATTTGATATTATCATTAATAAAAATGATGTTGTGATGGAATGTCAAATCTTACAGGGTTTAATATTCATCTCGAATTTATCTGTGAAGTTGATGATTACTATACTTTAGCTTCAAACTTAACTTGTGATTGTAGTGATTTTGATAACTTTTATTTATAATTTTAAATTTTTTTTTTGTGTGTAAAACTATGAAATTTTATTCATCTAGAAAATCGAAATTATTTTTAGAGTTAAATACATTCTAATTACGATGATAATCTTAAAATTAATTAATCAAAATCTATAGTACATTGATCAAACTTTAGAACTCTTCAATGCTTTGAATATTTATCACAATTAAATAACCTCGTCTTGAAGACATATACAGAATATTATAAAATAATGTCATTTCTTAAAATGAAATTATCTAGATCTGTTTATGTCTCGTTTGTACATCATAACGGTTGAAAAATGAATGAATGGATTAGATGATTGCTGTTCAATTGAGGGATCCAAATGTAATAATCTTTAATCATGAGTGGGTACTTTTGTAACTTAGTTACATTATTGGCTCAACAATTTAAAATTTATTTCTTTTTCCATAGAATAATAATAGTCTTTGACTTTCATTTGAATGTGGAAATAATATGGAAAGTGCTTGCTCTCACGTAATAAACATATTTTTTTTGTGGTGAGCTTTTAATAATTTTAATATTATCCTGAAAATAGAAATCAATTTTAGAAATTGATTAGAATATGCAGTCAACCTTATTTACATATTCGTGTAAGTATGATCATGTACGTATGCCTAAACCAATTTCCGTAAGACAATAGAAAAGAAAATTATGGATGAAGTTTTCGAGAACACATGATTATTACAAAGTATGAGATATGAAAACTTCACAATCCAATACATGACAATTGCAGTAATATGTTCATGCTTTACACCTCTTACACCTCTCGTCACAATTATTTAAAAATTGAGATAATTCACATGGGTTGAAAGCCGAAAATAATATCTTTAAAGCCAATAACATTCTGGCAATAATAAAGTCAGAGAATTGAAAAATTTGTAACCTACTGTTCGGCACTTTATCTGCTAAATTAACAGGGCATGGAATGAGTTTACAACTTCAAGTGAGGAAAATATAATCTATGTTTTCTTTCAAATGTACCTCCATTCCAATCAGGACCACCGCTCTATGGCTCTATACAAGATTCAGGGCAAAAACCCCGTCCGCTGTACATTTTCTTTCTCGGTGGACATTCACAAAGTTTTTACAATCCACTTGGCTCTGAGATCAATTTCTCTCAATTGCTGCAAAACGAGCAAACCCCGACCTACCCAATCTGCAACCGTATTGCACTAGTCTAACTCCGATGTACAGGAAGTCTACACTTCACAGTGAAACTCAATCTGCTATGACCCTCTGATCGGACTCTCCATCGCTGATATTATACTGTCTTTGGCAGGTACAGCACGCGAGCTAAAATACAGCTTTCTAGAAACCCACGCTCGAATCGCTGGAAGAGTAGTTTCTCCAAATCTGATAAGAACGTAGAAAATGATCCGATAGAGTGCAGCCATCAGCAGAAGAATTGCCAGATTCCACCATTTGCTTCGCCCCGTCGAAACTTGGTACAATTCTTTGAGAATATAATCGCTGGCGACTCGCGGCTCGTTGGGCCCGTTGATGTTTTCGAAAGTCAGGCCAGTAAAATCGTTTTGCAACATTCCCTGCCGCAGTTCACGATAAGAATCAGCGAGTAGGCAAAGCAATCAATCGCTCGGCAGAGAAGAATATTGATACAATTTTTTTTAGAACTTCCGATGATCCAGTACTTGAGAACTGGAGCTTCGATATCGACCTCGGCTGTATGCAACGAGATCATGAGCTTGTAAAGCAGACGCCTTACCTGAAATGCGTATGGATGGAAGGCTATATAGAACATAGGGTAGCGCCAGACAGGATCAGGTAGATCGTCCGGGAGTCTGTAGAAACCTGCAACGAGAATGAACATGCCCTGCAAGGCCATAATTGATTTGTTGTCAGTACCAGAAGATGTGTTGGCTTCACGTCGTTAATCGATGATAGTCATCACGTTCACGCATAGAATGACAATAGTGACATGACTGGCAATGCTGAATGTGGAGGGCGTGCAGGTTATGAATCGGACCTGAATTCCGGCGCCGATAATGATGCCCATCAGGAAATTGGGAACCAGGCTTGCAATGGCCATCATGAGACTCTCCACGACCAGAAGGCAGGAAAACAGTGACAGGACGAAGTAGAAGAAGTATTCTGCGCCATGGTGTAGGTCCACGAGGAAGTAGACAATGACCGTGGAAATGAGCGAAATCAGGAGCAGAAAGGGAACCGACGAAAGAGTGTTTCCTAACACGAACGCAGCCACGCCGTAGTGTCCATTCAATCTCTCCATCGTGAATACCTGCAAAGCATTTAAAATTTTTTTCTCCTCAGCATATGCCCATCCTCCGAGTGCGTGCACAAGTAAAAGAGATGCATCCTCAAAGCTCGTAAGCTGTAACTAGACATACCTTCATATCTTCGATAAACGACGGAAAACCTCCGACCGACATGAACGTGAGGAAGGCGACTACAAATGACACGCAAGCAGCTCGGGCCTGCAGACGCATGGCGTGTCAGTCCTTGAAAACAGGTGATTTCAAAGCTTGCAGACATTGCGAACGTGATTATCGAGATCCGAGACGCACCGCGATCGCAGTGTATGAGTATCCTGCTTTGAAGAATATGGTACCAATAGCTAAGGTGAGCACGATGTACATCCCCAGCCTCAGCCAGTAGTATCCGAAATCCCGGTTCATATTCGTGAATGATCTCATGGTCAGCGTATAAACCTGCGTGAAGAAGTTGGCCTCACTGCCACTGGAACTCAGCAATGGTCCTTCCTGAAATCACATTGCAAGTACCAACTATTAATCTGTATTCCGTGACACTGAAGTGCAAAACCACCCGTGCATCCAATCAGAGCAATATCAGCTGAGCCTCAGCCTGTCCAGAGGAGTGATCCGAGTCTGCTACGGACCGCTTTATTCATTTCCTGAATGTGCGATTCTACTTCGAGCTTGTTTTGTGATTCGGAGTATGCATGTGTCAAGCTTCTGACTACTGCTGCCACGCTCTCGAACTGTGGGACATGGGCCACTGCTTCTTCTTCGTCGAATGCATGCCCCTCTTCTTTGCGGTGCTCGAGGATAGTTTGCAAAGACTTTTGAACTTTGTCGAAGTCGGAGTTGACGCATAGAAGATAATGATCAGCTGGGTTCTGCAGCGATGGGCAAGGGTAGCCAGCCTCCTTGAAAAACTGCGGGAATCGCAAAGGGATGGGTGTGAGACTTTGAGCGAAGCCAGCAAGCATATCGACTTTGGCAATCCAGATGGCTTGGAGTTATAGACTAGATATGGCTGGTCCCCGTGGAGAATTCCACACAATTTCAAATGCTGTGACTGCCAACTATGACATTTTTTGAGAACGTAGCAGTCGACTAGTCCTGACGGTTTGCGGGCAACTGACCGTGAGTGAGCCCGGCAGATCTCCGAAGTATATTTGTTTGCCACCGGAGAGCAAGCAGAGGATGTCAAATAGCTGAAAGACCTGGCTGCTCGGTTGATGTATCGAACACAGCACGGTGCGTCCATCGTGGGCCAAATTTCTCAGCGTGCTCACAACGTGGAACGAAGAGGCACTGGAATCCACAAGCAAAAGTGCGTCAAAACAAGTTTCATCGCAAAATCGAGTGATCCCACAACCGAGGTCATTGAGCGGTGATAGTACCTGTCTAATCCACTCGTAGGTTCGTCGAGGAACAGGAGCCGAGGCCGGGTGAGTAGAGCGATTGCGATACTCACCCTTCTCTTCTCACCACCACTCAGACCTCTCTGATGCCAGTTTCCGATCGGAGTATTGATGGAGTCTTGCAGACCTACTTCCTCGATAGTGCTCTTTACGATACGATCCATGTCTTTCGTAGTTGTACTGCTTGGAAGTCTCAGCTTGGCCGAATAGTATATAGTTTCCTTGACTGTCAGCGTCCCCAAGAGGTCACATTCTTGTGCAAGGTACGCCTGTTATAGCCAATCCGTGGGACGGAAAATATTAGAGGGTCGCACCATCTGTAAGCCTCCAGATGTTGGTTCTGAGACACATGGAACGACGATCGAGAAGTGAACATAGAAAACCAACGAGACAGTCTCCGGCTCAAGAGGAATTCAACTGCGATTGACATGGTGGACTTGAGAGAGTAGAACATAACACGCATTTATAATAATGAAACGATTCGATAAAGTTCTCAGTTCAAGCACCAGTGACTTCAAATATCATGGACTCTTGGCTCCACAGACTGAATAATATCAACCCGGACAAACTCATGAGGGTGAGAGTGAGGCGACAGGATGTTGTAGCCATGGCTGTGAAATTGCAACTTACCGCAGTGCCATAAGAAACTCGAGTGCTCCTGCCATTGAGCCTGATATCCCCGGTCAGCGTGATATTCTTCGATATTCTTCCTAAAATCCACCGAAAAGTTTGGTCAGAAAGGTTCGAAGGTTATAGCCAGCCAACATGAAACAAACGATGTTACAAAGTCCGCGAAAAATTACCTGCAAGAGAATCGAGAAGAGTGGACTTCCCTGATCCAGAAGGGCCCATGATAGCGCAGATGCGTCCCGGTTCAACATAGCCTGAAAGGTCATGAAGAATCCGCACGTCGTTATCGATGTAAGCGGACAAGTTTTTCCACGATAATCGAGCGACCAGGCGCTCATCATCTGTCACAACACCACGACGCTTCTCTCCGGCGTCCATGGCTGGAGCTCGATTACTCGATGTCGAGCTCCAGCTGATGCAGCGGTGACTGAATCGCTCAAGCCTCAGTTCCTCGACGTGCCACGCTCAGCTTAGATTGACATTCTGCCCGGCCTTCGATCTGCTCTCACCTGCTGTCGATCATTAAATGTTCAATCGAGCAACAGACTTACCAGCCACTCCCACGACGACCAAAATCGTAGGTCCTTGGTCCTCAACGCCGTCTCTCGAAGCGGGACTTTAATCGGCTGACAGATACCACCTTCTACAACTTGGTGGCAAATGTGGGTCACGCTACAGAAGAAGCACAACTTATTGTCTGCCCGACGGAGTACCCTCCCTCCTTGAACTCAGTCAGCCGGATGATATCCTCAGGCACAATCTTCGAAGATTCTGATCTCGAGCCGACCTGACCCACAGCTACGAAACAAATTTATGTTCCATAGATGGCTGTGCAAGTTGGTTAACCGAGTAAAGTCCAGGCGACGCATTGTCGCCTTAAAATTGAATGCTCCAGAATGTTTTTAAGCAGATAAAGCAGGTCTTGACTCGGCACAATCAATCTTCTTTAATCTCTCTTGTTCAAGTCTGACATGTGAAACTACTTTGCCCGATTAGATTACTGTAAAAGCTTCATCATGTGTATTACTAACGATCAACATTACAATGAGTGGAGAGCAAATTTCGTTCCAAAGTTACTATGCTTGCAATATAAAACAGATGCATGCAGGTGATGAGTAGGACAAGTAAACCGACCTGACAAGTATTCATGTCAGTTTCCTTTTACAGATGCATGGTTGTACGCGGGGTTTTGAACAGTCAGTTCAGAACCGATTGTCATTCATTCAGGGCGGATGAGAATGAGAATTTCCTTTCAGTCAAATCCACAGTCACGTTGACTTGGTCCACTGTGGGCTTCCTGTTCCACCGTTTGCAGGCATTCGGATCTATAGTATCGCAATAGGATCGCAAGTATCGTCGTGACACTCACACGGATAGGTTAGCAAAAAGCACGGCCAATCACGATAAGCTAATTGATCCTGAAGGAATGCTCAGAGTGATTATGATTCCTGAGTTTGATCTGAGCTTTCTGTTCCCCATGATGGATGAAATAGATTGCCTTACTAAGTACTTTAATTTAATATGCGTTATGACAATCATACGCGTAAATGGTGACAGGCATAACATCTGACTGTACGCGGATGAGATTACACACTATTACCTCGAACAGTTACATTATTTAAATGATGCGTCAGATGAACACCTGAACTTATTTGCTAGCTACAGCTGTTGCTGGCTCAAGATAGCAATAAATTGAAGTATTGTTAAAAATCTTTTCGTATTTTGCTGCATGCTTTCCATCTTCACTATTTCCAAGCAACATGTGCCCGCAGGTCGGGTCAGGGACTTTAGAGATGCATATTACGCGAGAACGGAGGGCCAAGTAACCCATCACTAGGAGGAAACGGTAACCAGGGGCTAGATCCCAATAGACTCACAGTGGTACGTATGCATTACACCACGTCATTCTTGGAAAGGAAAGTATTCGTCTCCAATGCTAAATCACAGATGGTTAATAACTACGGGCTGTAACAGTTAATGGACGAGGACAAAAGGTGTCTCGTCTTTGTGTCGCTTGTGGCAGAAATTCGAGGAAGCGAGAACCACAGAGGAGTGGCAATGTTTCTTAAACCCCGTGCTAAACTCCAGTCCTCTCACTCGAACTTGTCCTAGAACGAACACTAGAAGGCAGTTCGACCATACAGAATCGAGCTGAAGGAAGTCAACACAATCGCTGGTCGCTAGTCGGTCTGCAGATTGTTGATTGCAATTGTCCACTGTATGAGAAGTATAACCAAATATTGAGACATTGAAAAAGTACATATGAGAAGATCTACCGCAAATCTTGAGCGTAAATTAGCTTCATTCTTTCCGGGATTTGGATCGATAGGATGAACGAGTGATGCCGGAGGAGTTATCAGCGGTGATAGAAGTCCACGCTTCAGAAAATTAAACATGAGGCCGCTAGGAGGGTGACATTTCAGCTGTGTGCATCCGAGTCCTTTCAATGATGGTACTTGAGCTGAGAATGAGAGTGGGAGCGTGAGTGTAAAATCCAATACATATCGAGTGCGTTGAAGTTACTGCTAGCTAGATCAGAGAATTGATTTGTGTATACTACAGCCAGAGAGCAGCATCTCGAGGTTCAGGGATGAGGATCAGGATCAAGAGTTCGTCAACGGAGTCGAAACCATCCAAGAATAAGACGGGCAAGGGAGGGAGCACTCACCTTTCGATTGATGAGTTTGAGGCCGCTGAAGCTCACGACTTTCCTCCGACTTTTTTTGAACAAGCTACTTCCTCGCAGAAGCTAGAATGGCTACGGTCCCAAATAATCGGGAGTCAGATTGAGTTCCTAACTCCCTTCGGAAAAAGGCCTATACTGTACGCCGATCACACCGCCTCGGGCCGAAGCTTGCTTTTCATAGAGAAATATATCCTGCAACACCTACTTCCAATATACGGTAAGATTTCGAGCATCGGTTGCGATTTCTCTTCCAGCTTCATCGTCTGCACTTCATCTCGGAAGCTTTGTATGTGTTGCTGCACAAGCTGATTGAATCGCCGACAGCATTTCCTGTTCTCTCTGAGATTTCCGTTTCAGATGGCTAAGTCAATTGTTGCGGGCGAGCCTTCTGATCTCACTCCTCTCTTGTTATAACGTCCATACAGAGCGTCTGAACCTCACCTGTAATAAGACATGATGAATCGGTCTCTGAAATGTCGGAATCGCATGAAGAGGATGACTGACAGGGTTCATTTCTGTCAATTATGCCGGAAAGTTCGAGGTAACAAGAAATCTGTTTACTGACTTGCAGGAAACACTCATACGGATGACAGTTTTGTGGGCCAACGGACTACCCAGTTAGTCGAAGAAGCTAGTGCTTATGTCAAGAGATGTCTGGGAGGTGTGGAAAGCGACGCACTTTTCTTTTGCGGAACCGGCTGCACTGCGGCGATTAAGAAGCTGCAAGAGATTATGGGCATCGCCATCTCTCCCCCTCTGAGAAAGCAAACTCTCGCAACCATTGAAGAGAAGAAGAGATGGGTGGTCTTTGTTGGTCCCTACGAGCACCACTCCAACCTGCTCTCTTGGAGACAAAGTTTGGCCGAGGTCAGTGTCTCTAGCTTCTCCAATCTCCGACGGGATCCCCTGAATTTTGTATAACTTAAATGTAGCATGAATTTTGTCAGCCTCGAGAAATTCTGTCTTCAGACTTCGAGCGTATGGTTCAAGTCCAGGTCCAGGTCTTGCATAAGCCTGGATAACCTGGATTACGGAAGTGTATGTCTCCAGAGGCGATTGTAAATGCCTGCAATCATCTGCAAGATGGTCCACGTACACGATCACGCTACTGATCTCGAGGTCATTCGACAATCTACTATTGTTCGTCGTTTAGTGATCTTTACTCTCACGAAGGTAGTTGGAAATTGTTCGATGCTTACGTGACGAGAGTCTGAGAACGGTCTGAAAACTCTGGAAGGGCCCCGCTCGGTTTCAGCTCTTGAAAAATTCTCGCCAGAGAGAGAGAGCAACAAGAATTTGCATTTGACAGTCTCTTTTTTGGATTTTGCAACGGACCCCAGAAGTCGTCCTGGCCGTGTGGCGGCTCACTTGGAGGCGGCGTAGGGTGAAGAATATTGGTCCAAAAATCGAGGAATGAGTGTTATTATACGTACTATTCTTCGACGATTTAATCTTGAGATGAGTCCCGATTTATTATCTACCAGAATCTGAAAACATCCTCCTTGCTCGTGCTACAGGTTGTGGAGATTCCACTGAACAAAGACGGGTTCATCGACATGGATGACCTGCGAGCTGCATTGCAGAATCCGGTGTACGAAGGCCGGCCGAAGCTGGGTTCGTTTTCAGCTTGTAGCAACGTGACCGGCATCGTCACCCACACACGGACCATATCGAAGCTTCTGCATGCTCATGGATGTTTCGCCTGCTTCGACTTCGCCGCCAGGTCTGGAAACAGTCTTGATCGATAGGCAGTGAGCATAACTTTGGGCAGAACGCGTGTACTTTTCTCCTTCACCTAATCGTGGGTAATTTCTTCGCAAGAACTAGGTAGACATATTCTCAGCACATTTTATCGAAATTCGACTTTGCGTCACGACAGTGATAGACGATCGACGGGATTCCAGAGCTATTCTGGTTTCTTAGTTTGCATAGTAGGGTCAAGGCTGCAGCCTTGACAGGTCCGCTGACAGTGTTTCCAGATTGAAAAGATGGAGTTATGCGTGATGACACTCACGCCTGTCTACTTATTGCAACCATGCTGTGTCCAGTGGTCCCTACGTGGAGATCGACATGCGATCGGGAGAAGAAGACGGCTACGACGCGATATTCTTGAGCCCTCACAAATTCATGGGTGGCCCGGGGACTTCTGGCTTATTGCTCATGACCAAGAGACTCTACCTTCTGGGAACAGGGCCTCCGTCGACGTGCGGCGGTGGCGTTGTCGACTTCGTCAACCTCGATGAGCGGGTAAGACTGGAATCGATCCCTTTGAATTCCCTTCATGATTTCTTTCGTGTGCCAGAGACAGCCTGTGCGTAAAGGGGATTGTGAAATGCTTGTTCACTATTGAAAAAGTTGAAGATTACATCTTTTCATTGTGTTGGGGCGAACAGGAAACCATTTACTACAATAATATTGAGAAACGAGAGGATGCCGGCACTCCGGGGACGGTGCAGAAGGTTCGGACTGCACTGACCTTCTGGGTGAAGGAAGTGATGGGCACGGATTTCATCTCGTCGAGAGAAACGCTTCTGATCGACACGGCCATGTCCAGGCTCAGAGACAACCCCAACATCAAAATATACGGCGCCACGACTGTCAAACGCATCGCCATCTTATCGTTCTCCGTCTACTCGACGACTCTGGACCCAGCAGAAGATTTGTATTTTGGCCTCAAAGGAGGCAGAGGAGCAGGAAGCCCCACGCTTGCGGCTGAGGATAGGACTAGTCCCTTGCGGTTGTTCATGAAGGCAGGAAGGCGAAATCCCTTCATCTCTTCCAGTAAGACGCATGGATCCGGGTCCCATCCAATGAAAGAATTTCTGAGCCCGAGGAAAGAGCGAGCTGCGCTTAGAGGAAAGCCTCTGCACGGTCGCTTCGTCACCAAGCTTATGAATGACCTTTTCGGCATTCAGGGACGCGGCGGGTGCTCTTGCGCCGCACCTTACGCCCACTCGCTTCTGGGGATCGACGACGAGCTGTCGCTGTCGATACGCGACGCGATGATGAAGGTACGAGAGAAATCATGAGCCTTAGATCGTCGATGTCGATGCTGCTGACTTGGTCGCAGTCGGGGCTGACGCTTGTCGTCGTGGTCGCTTTCAGGGGTGGGGCGGCGTGAAGCCAGGATGGGCGAGGGTGAGCTTTGCTTACTATTCGACGACAGAAGAGTTCGAATTTCTCGTGGCGGCCATAGAATTTATCGCGCAGTACGGTCAACGATTTCTGCAGGTCTACGATTTTGACTGGCAGACAGGCGACTGGACTTTCCGAGAGGAGTACAGGAAGCTGATCCACGACACCGAGAGGATCGTCCTTGGCCGAGTCAAGCAGCACTGGTGGTCGGGCACAGATGCACCGCCCAGTAGTTTCGCCCGGGGCCCCCATTCGACGCAGGCCGCCATGACCGGCAAGCTCAACCCGAGTCTCCTGAGCTACTTGCAGCTGGCCGAGTCCATAGCCGAGTCTCTCCCAGGTCAACCCCCGATTCGACAGATTCCCGAAGGTCTAGATCCAAACCTTCTCACCTTCAGGGTCTGACCCTTTTGTCCGACGTCCTCTCTGTAGATCTACACCGTAACCATACAGTAGACCGGACTCCATAGCACCGCCCCCGGGGATCTTGCGAAAGGAGAAGTGTACGCAGTACGGGATCCTTGGACAGGTAATTTTTCGATCTAGGAATCTCGGGATGGGGCCTGATGCGAGAGTGGTGCTGATCGACCACCGGTGTTCACGCTCAGGGATAACAGGGGATTCTCCATCTCATATGGATCCGCCGTGTAGTTATCAGGCATTGACAGGTATCAGCTAGAGTAGCAAGTTTCACTCGAGGACAAATTGGGCACGGGTCACGCCATGTGCGTCACTTCGTGGGTCATGCATGGGCCCTATGCGACGGGTGCTGTCGAAGACATGGCTGGTGCAAGCCAATTGACACAGGCGGCGACCTTTGCCCCGTTGCCATCAGCTGGGATTGTAGGGTTGACTTCCAGTTATTGGGATACCTCAAATGCCATGTGTGGCAGTCAGCCCTGTTGGTTATGGCGGACTTTAATTGCACACAGTTGCACCCTTCATCCTGGAACGTATTCGGGAGGAGGAAGAAGGAACAACAACGACCACACATGCGACTCCTGGTGCCGAGCAGGCGGAATGATATGTGGATCAGACGATTCAAGACCACCTGGGCAATAGGCTGCGGTGCAGTCGAGCATCGTCACTTGTACAAAGTTGCACTACTGGAGAGGACATTGGCGTGTGCCCCGTCGAGACTTCACCGGGATGCACGAAAGCTGGAGAGCCAGCTAGCTCCCACACAAAAACTCTGTACAGATTAGTCTGGATTGTGTTTCAGATTTTGCGCCCCCGAACTACGAGTAGTCGTAGGAGTAGCAGTCATAGGTGTCTGGAGGAAAGGGGTACCCAGTAGTAGCTGTCACCTTTAAAAAAATTTGTCGACCGAGGACTTTGACTTTACCCAAGATTTCATTCCCTTCACCCAGGGCAGGGCTTTAGGGAAGACAAGTAGCAGATCCTTCCATCTCTCGGATACCCAACAATTAATCATTTGTCTTATTATCAGCATGTACTTTCCAGACACTTGGTTCTTTCATGTTCATTCTGTAAATTACGCTTTAATCAGTAACTGCACGTGCTCGTCGTACTTTCTCCGTATTCTCTCGATGTGTGCTGGTTCTTTTATGTTCGTTTTGTAAATTATACTTTGATCAGTAACTCCACGTGCTTGTCGTACTTTCTCCGTATTCTCTCGATGTGTGTTGGTTCTTTTATGTTCGTTCTGTAAATTACGCTTTAATCAGAAACTCCACGTGCTCGTCGTACTTTCTTCGTATTCTCTCGATGTGTGTTGGTTCTTTTATGTTCGTTCTGTAAATTAGTAATTTATAAAACGAACAAAGCGTAATTTAAAAGTACGCTTTGATCAGTAACTCCACGTGCTCGTCGTATTCTCTCGATTTGTGTTGGTTCTCTCATGTTCTTTTTGTAATTTACGCTTTAATCAGTAACTCCACGTGCTCGTCGTACTTTCTCCTGTATTCTCGCGATGTGTGTTGGTTCTTTTATGTTCGTTTTGTAAATTATGCTCTAATCAGTAACTCGTCGTATTGTCTACGTATGTCAGCGTATTCTCTCGATGTATGTCAGCGTACTTTGTCCGTATTCTCTCGATGTGTGTCAGTTTAATTCTTTTCATTCTTTTATGGAAAGGGTTAGTTATTACTTTTTGCTTTGTGGTAATTAGACCTCACCCTAGTATATAGTATTCCGATTCATCCAAAGTTACAGGGTTACTGGAATTTAATTGATGTTTCTTCTGACGCTCTCGTGTTCCTCTCTATTGTATTCGTGAGTCACGTCAAGCTTGCCACGAATACAACCTAGATTTATTTTTGACACGTTCGTGGCCAGTTTGGTGTCACGTGACTTGGAAGGTATCTGGAATCTCACCGCCCTCCGAGAAGTAGAAAGCGCAGGCACAAGCAAAGTTGTCGAGAAGAGGGCCTTCTTCCACCTCAAGAGCTCAGCACCTCCGAACTCGAGGTTCTTGGAAGGCTGGAGGGAGCGAGTCCCCTGCATCCTGGCGAAGTAGGAAGGGAGAAAACTCAATCGCGATCGCAGCACAAGCCTCTGCCTTACATCCACAGGATTGCCAGAACCAGCAGCTGATTCCACCCGCCAGCTGAGCGGATTCACCACAGCCGTGGCCCCCACGGCGGTCGCCACATTGCATCCCACGCACCAAATTCACCTGATCACATGCCAATCAGAAGTCCAAAGCAGAATTTCACTCAAGTCGCCAACTTGCTTGAAAAACTAGCAGCGCCCAGCTGGGCTGCCTCTGCAGATGACACCACCACTTCTAAGCACTCGCATCGAACTATTCCTCCGGCCCAATGCTCTCAAATTCACGCAATGAGTTCTCCAATCGCCTCGCGCATACAGCAAATTCGAATTCAAATCGATAAGTGAAATTGCATCAACCACGAGTTGCCATTTCAGAATGATGCAATCGGAGTTGCGATCGAGCTCACTCACCAGAGACGGATCCGAGGCGCGAACGATGAGGCGAAATCTTGCGCACAGTAGTCGCACAAGGCCTCGAGAGACCAGCGGCTGCACGGGGCTCGGATCGTGGGCCCACATCTCCGGCTTTGGCAAACGCAACGAGAGTCCTTCTCGACCCCTCTCATCGCAGTAATCGACAGCATGGCATCCACGTCGGCCGCGTTACAACCCGGAGAGAACACGAACCCGTGAAACCATGAATTGATTTCCATTGACCCTATCACTTTGGACCAATTTTTGAAGATAGTATATTAGGGCGAATGTTAATTAATCCAAAGTGAGAGATAATTAATACTTATAATTTTTTATTATATTATTTTTTTATTTGATAGATTCTCATGAAATTATAAGAGACTAATTAACACAAAGTGAACGATAATTAGTATTTTTTTTAATTATTTTCCTTGATTTGAATGTATTCTCATGAAATCAATGTGAGATTAATTAATCCAAAGTGAAAAATAACTAATATTTTTATTTTTAATTATTTTTTTATCTATATTTTTGACTCGGATGGATTCTTATTAAATTAATGAGAGAATCATTAACCCAAAATGAAAAATAACTAACCCTTATATTGTTTTTCTTCTCTATTTTTTTGACTTTGGATGGATTCTTATTAAATTAATGAGAGAATAATTAACCCAAAGTGAGAAATAACTAACACTTGTATTTTCTATTGTTTTTCTTATTACTTTGCTTGACTTGATGTATTCTCGTGAAATCAATAGTAGACTAATTAACCCAAAGTGAGAGATAACTAGTCTTAACATTTTTTACTATCTTTCCTAGAGACTTTTCTTGACTTGGGTGGATTTTCATGAAATCAATGGGAGACTAATTAGCACAAAGTGAAAGATAACTAGCACTTACATTTTTTATTATCTTTCTTATCTACTTTCCTTGGTTTGGATAGACTCTCATGAAATCAATGGAAGACTAAGTGGCCCAAAGTGAGAAATAACTAGCTCTTCCATATTTTATTATATTTCTTATAGACTTTACTTGACTTGGATGGATTCTCATGAAATCAATGGGAGACGCATTCAAACACGCATCAATGACTCCTCATTCCGAAGGAATCACGATTGTGGAGTTCATGTCGTTCCTGATGTCGGACTCAAACGTAATTCTTTTGTTTGCTATTTCCGCGGTGGTACAGTGTGTGGAGACAGATAAGCATGCCATCTTCGTTGATATGCCCTCATCAGATTTTTCTTATGAGCCGCAATGGTGATTCCTCACATCGCCTTGCTTCCATTGTACTTCTTCGAAATTGATTGAGCAGTGGTAGAGCACAGTGACACCAGATTCCTCGTCACCACTTCACAAATTCAAAACCATAAATGTAAGGAACGTCTTCATCAGTTATTGACTTTTTATAATTAGTAAAGAATTGTCAACGCGATGCTTGATCATGCGATAAAGCCGAGTACCATTGAGGTCGTTTTGTGAATGTCATCATATATACATCTCCCCACGCTAGGACTTGGCTGCAAAGGGTATACAGTGTGATTTTATAATCGAAATGAGTGTGTCAGAAATTTAAGAACATTGACCAATAAATCATTCTTCACAAAAGTGATCATCTAGGTGCTTATATTTGGCAGGAAGTAAGAATGAGGTAGAAGAAGTTTTAAATGTTGAAATAGGGGATTAGAGTCTGTCTACTAGAATTAGGAGACTATAAAATTCCAATGAGAACCAAATGTCCAGCCCCAAATGTGGTCTAGTTTGCCAGACCACAAAGAAATCCTTCTGACAAAAACTAGTTCTTTCGATCTAAATTTGGGTACAGTCGCTGATAGTACCTGAATAAAAAGCGGGCAGAACGAAGGGACGTCATATAGCAGCATAAAATCGTAATCGCAGCTGCGTCATGGATTCGTCTACAGTGTTCATTGGTCTTCAATCCAAGAGGTGTTCGTCTTTTTCCTAGCAGATTGTTGTAAATATATTTATACAGTGTGAGCTGGTGGAATCTCATAATCTACAGTGCCCAGAGTGCAGTTTTAAAAAATGCTTTGACCTTCGACGACGAGTTTCAACTTCATTTTACTTTTCAGAAGTACTGTAAGCAACGTGATATGTATTGTCGTGCTCAGCGTGTACAAAATTTGGAGCCAATAGAACTATTTGAGAAATCTACATCCCCCCGGAATAGAATCATCTGACAAAAATAGATGATGATTTCAAGTATGAAGTCAATTTCCATGCCAATGTGACTTCACGAATTGAGTCTCCAGATGTATTGAGGTTCTAAAGTCCTGAATATTTGTTTGATAAATATACTAAGCTATTTTCACTTGGCAGAAGCGAATAACAAACAACTGTTAAATTCTGTCTATGTAAATTTGCCTGAACCATCAAGAAATTCCATCGAAGTCCGCGCACAGAGTGGCCAATCACTCTTGATATCTGATCATCACCTATTTGTTGTGTGCACAAGCACTTGAGTAGGTAGATTATTCTTTCATCAATATTCATTTCTCATTATTCCACTCTGAAATATTCCATCACTTTTATTCTACAACCTTTCGTGACACTTAAAGCATTGGCCCCATCACTCTTGTCAATGTATTATAATCGTTCAATTAATAATTAAAAAAAATTAATTAATCTACAATTTTGATTCAGATTATAATGATGAATGCCAAGAACAAAATAATGCGTCTTACGTACATCAACACGGAGGAAAATAATGCTAAGATTTAATTACAAGACATATTGTGGTAACGTAATTTTTCAATTTTTTGAAATGAAAAAGTTTGAAAAATTGAGTAATAAAATCTATACTTTTAAGATAAGAATAATTAGAAGTAGATTAAATAAAACATTTTGTAACAGATTACAAGTTATGAATAGTTGGAATCTTTGAATACATCTTTGTTGGAGTTAATGTTTTACTTGCAATCAATAAAGTTAAATTAGATGGTTTATGATATGATACATTAAATACCTCATAACTTTTTCAATTAGTGACAACTTGACTTAATAATGGTTTTGATAAATAGAACTCGGCATGTTCGTTCTAACGAGACTAAGAATTATTGAAATGAATGAGAGATCATCCGAGTTATGAGTGTTTGAAGTGGTTGATATATATAGGAAGAAGGCAAAGAAGTAACTTTAGACTTCGGCTTTAAAGAAGAAGTTACTTCGGCTTTTAGGTCAACCAGAAGCGACTTTGGGCGATGATCTTTTGTCTTTGGACGAACAAACTTTGGACGTGTGCGAAGAAATTGGGAGGACTCCGGAGGTTTCTCCTTCATGCGAAGAACCTTCGCGTTGAAGTTTGCATAGTTTAGAAGGCAAAGGAAGTACTTCGGATAGATTGGAGGAGTCTCGTGCAGCATTTCAGAGAGAAGTCAAGCGCGCGGAGGAGCTGACGGCTCGGATCAAGCGGAGCCTTGAATTGGCTTGCTCGGCGAAGCGGTAAGCTGATTGCGAAGTTGTACGAACTTTGGAGTTAGAGCGTGGGAAGTATTTGGACACAAATTACAACAGATTGCGATCTCAATTGTCGGCAGTTGGGGAGCAGTTGGTCGCGGCTCAAGCGAAAGTGGTGAAGACATATGCAACTATCCAACATCTTGAATAGTAGATGTATGTTGGTTTGTGCGCAAGGGTATAGTGATGTATTCATGATTATGTGGATTGGGAAATTCATATCACGAAGTGGACAAAATTGGATTTGATAAAGCGTTGATTGAAAGAATTGGGAGCCAATGGAGTTGCAGGACATCGGCAGTTAGGTAGAATGGCCAGTACTTTCATTTCAGATTTAGAGGAGAAGAAGTAGAATTTAGATTTAGAGTTTGCAGCAATTTTGAGTAGGATAGGAGTAGACAAGAGCTTTGCGTGTGAGTCAACTACCGCATTTGCGGATGTCGCACTTGATGGAGGCTCACAGCTAGAATGTGATACCTCCAGGTGTTTATTGTGAATAAAGAGGCTCAAGGTTCTACCTTCGTGGGCTTTTCCATGAGTTAGTTTTCAGTCTTAAGTCTGCATTACTCCTCACGTTCGTGAATTGAGTGTTTTGTCACAATGCGCGAGTTGCTTCAGTTTGTCAAAGATACTACATTTGAAGTATAGAGTCCAATTCAGATGTTCTGAGTGGTACATAGTGTAGCTAAGGATTTAAGCAAATCTATATATTGGAAGCTCGGTGCAGCCGGCTGAGTGTGTAATCTTGGGAAGTTTTCCACTTGAATATCAATTGTAGAGTTGCTTGCGATTTTTGTGTACTCTATTGGATGAATTTCAGGATTTGGATGTGATTTCACCCTACATTTGTTTCGCTTTCGGCTTTAGCAATTGCAGATGCTTCCGGGAGTGACATGTGCCTGAGAAGTAAAACTCTTCAATAGAATGTTAATTCTTGATAATAATTAAATCTCTGGTGTTGTTTCTATCATCATGTAATCAAATTTTTATCATTATGTTCCATTTTGATAATTATCTGTTATTACACATATACATGAATTTGATATGATTAACGATTTGTTTAAAGTCGTGAAAGGAATGTACAACTTTAAAATAGTTTTGATCTCTGCCATTTATTTACTTGTATGTGCTTTAACTCAAATATTTTACCCCAAATTTGAAAACAAACTACCAAAATTTGGAACTAATTTAGAATCATATAAATGTGTGTCTTCATTAAAGTACATGTCTATAAATAGATACTCAAATACTCCTATAAACAATTAGTAGCATATGAGCATCTACAATTCAGTAAATAGAGCAAAGGGTTCCAGATTTCTTTGGATTTCAATACACCCATTACTCTTCAGTACAATAATCCACATCCCGAAGAAGAATACTGTTCCTGTGGAGTAAAGAAAACTTTCATTCTACCCTTCAAAGTTAGTTGAGATTTTACTATGTGAATATTTTAGTACGTGAAAAAATTTATATTTCATGTAGGTTGATTGTTTACAGCTGGAACAAGTGCGAAAAGAAGCTTCATACAATGAAGCAAGTTTATATCTGACCTCGTTCTCCGTGCAGTGTGGAGTTAACCAGGCGGATGCTCATTGATCTGAACAGCATGACTCGACTGATTGGTCACCAAGACTTCCTTGTGTCATGGCTAGCAACTAGCTTTTATATAC